TTATTATAAATTGAATATTGTTAATGACACTCGAAATAAAATAAAAATTCTAATTTCAAAATGATTAAGTATGCATTTCCATTTAATATCCTTATAGTATATCTATTTTGTAAGAAATGTACAATTAAAAAAGTGAGCACTTTAAAACACGATTAATAATAAAAATTGATATAACACAAGAATTAACAACTTTTTTAATATGTATAAAAAATCAAATATGACAAATTGTTTTGAACATATGAATTAGTATCTTTTGGATTTTTTTGTAAAATTTCATATGAATCTTTTACCATTATACATGTAAGGAAATGAAATAATAACCTATCCAAAATATTAAAATTATGATTATTTTCTCGTTTTTAACCTTTGAGCTATTATGTATAAAGGTCGACCTTTGAGTAGAGGAAGTATATTTCACGAAAATAATAAAAATATTATTGTAGGGAGAATTTCAAGAATAGAGGCAAAAGGTGTTAGGTCGAAGGTTAGCATTTCGATGTTGGTGGAATTAAATCTTATGCTACTCGTTTGGAGAGTAATATTTTCAGCCTTGTATTATTAAGACTTTTAACATGTCCTTTATATATATGTACAAGTATAGTTTAACTAGAATTCTAGACAATACAATGGATAAGAATTAGAGGGTACAAGTAATTAACAAACTCGCGAGTAGAGTTCTTGTAAGTAACAAACTCTAACGCTACAACGGCGTTTATCTCTCGAAGTGCGATAGAGCTTGTTGTGGCCGGCTCTTGTCTCAATACTCTCCCACAACCGACCGTGGATGGGTTCCAACGGTGAGTTTTTCCCTCAAGAATTCAAACTCGGGCAATGGAAAGAGGTTTAGTTAGAATATCTACAATTTGATCTTGTGTGGAAATGAACTTTACTTGCAAGCTCCCCTCGCAACCATGTCTCCGACGAAATGAAAATCAATTTTCACGTGTTTAGTTCGTGTATGGAACATTAGGTTACCGCCAAATAAGTAGCTCAATTATTATCACACCAAATAATCGACTTATGAGTCGGTGTGGAGTCAAGCTCACCTAGTAAAGACGTGACCCGCGAGCTACTCGTCTTCGCTTGGAGGATTTCTAAGTGATTAAATTCGATCCTAAGTAGACAAGCATACCCCTTGTAGATTTTCTATCATCCAAAAAACCTATCGAATCCGAATCGGAGAAACTCGTCAATAGTTGAAACTTGGATTTTCAAATGTGCAAACCATAAGTATATATGTACTTCGGGTATCACAAGATGCGTTTGATAGCCACCCAATGTTCGAAGTAGGTTGGTGCATGAACCGACACACTTTATTCACGAGCATACGCAATATCCGATCTAGTCGAATAGCATATTGAAGGGCACCTAAAACCTGTCTATATAAAGTTTGATCGGAGAAGAATTTAGCATCTCCATTTTTCGGTTTTGAAGTGGTAGGCATGGGTGTGGTGATGGCGCGACTCGTCAAGCATTCCCTATTTAGTAAGAAGATCATGGATATATTTACGTTGAGATAGTATAATACATGTTGATATTTTAATCACCTTTATGCCAAAAAAGAAGCTAATATCACCAAGGTCTTGTGTAGCAAATTTGGATTTTAGAGCATGTATTATGTCTTTAAAAAAGCCACATGGTCATTGGTAATGATGATGTCATCGACATAGACTAGTAGGAATGCTTTGTAACCTCCGGCTTTGTAAATAAATACGAAGAATCTGTTTTAGACCCCTTAAAGCTAAAATTTAGGAGAAAGTCCTAAAGACAAGAGTACCAAGCTCGTGGAGACTGTTTAAGACCATAGAGAGACCGATGCGACTTACGGACGTAGTCAAGGAACTAGGAGTTAACAAAGCCCACTTGGTTTGGCCATATAGACTACTTCATGTAATGTGCTATTTAGGAATACATTGTGCATATCGAGTTGCTTGATGGACCAATTGTATGAGACTACTAAGGACATAATAACTATGATAGTTGTAGGCATGACCACTTGGACTAAAAGTTTCCCCAAAATCAATCCCCTCCCGTTGGTGAAACCCTTTGACAACTAACCTTGCCTTGTACCTTTCTATGCTGCCATCCGCATGTTTTTTGGTTTTGAAGATTCACTTATTCCCTATAATGTTCATGGCACGTGTAAGGGGGACTAGGGACCAAGTGTTGGTTTTTAAGAGGGCATTGATCTCCGACTCCATAGCCATTCTCCATTATGTATGGTTTTTAGCTTCGGTTTAACGGGTAGGACTTTTTAGGATTGCTTGGAGAAGATATCGCAAGAGAGGCTTTTAGACCCATATTTTGTAGAACCATAGGAGGTTCATTTTGGCTCCCTATTGGATGATGAATTTCTAGTACTACTCGCACACTTGGTTAGTGAAGTCATACTTGCTAAAATCTAACCGTAAATTTATACCGGTGTGGTGGAGGTGTGGCTTGGATTTTGGGAGTGGAAATTTGGGCTATTGGACTTGGGGATAATTGGAGGGTGAGGTTCGGTTTGGGTTGTCATGGATTGGTGGGGTAATGATCTATCCATGTGGGTGTGTGGTGTCCGGGGGCTAGTTGTGAGGTTTGTGGAGGTGGGTTTTGAAGTGGATTACCCGGTAGGGTAGTGGAGTGATGCCGATCGGGTTAGAGTAATAGAGGTGGTCGGAGTAGGACACTAATCCACGGGAGTAAAACAGTGGATGAACTTGTGTTTATGACCGATGAGTGAATTTGTGAAAACAAAAATATTGACTCAATAAACCGGACATGACGAGCAATGTAAAGGCGATTTTTGATTTTGTCAAAACAACGATAGCCAATACATGATGGGTTATATCCTAAGAAAATGCAAGGTGCGGATCGAAAATCAATTTTATGTTTGTTATAAGGTCTTAAATATGAAAAACGAGAGATAACAAAAAATTTTTAGAAAGGAGTAATCCGAGCTTTTCTTAAACACGAGTTCAAACGGTGATGTATATTTGGTGATAGAAGAGGGCATTCCGTTAATTAAGAAAATAGTCGTGTCAAAGGCGTATGTCCAATATTGTTTAGGAACATGGGCCTTTGCTAAGAGGGTGAGGCCCTTTTCCACAATATGGCAATGTCGTCTACGGTACCATTGTGCTCATCTATGTGAGGGCACATGATGCGATGGGAGATTCCTATATTTTGAAAGAATTTATTTAGTGCTCAAAATTCCCTACCCCAATTGGTTTGGACTCGTTTGATTTTGTAATTAAACCGAAGTTCAACCAGATTTTGGTATTGAATGAAAACATTATAAGCATCTAATTTTTTATGTAAGGGGTAGAACCATATATATTTAGAGAAATGATCAACAAAGATAACATAATATTTAAAATCATCAACGAAGTAGTAGGGGAGAGACCCCAAACATCACCGAAAATTAAATTTAACATACTCGTGCTTGGATTGTTTGATAAAGGCAAAGATAGATAATTAGATTTTCCTAATGGACATGACAAGCATTGACTTGATAAATTTAAAGGTTTTGATAAGGAGTACTTATGTAAAAGAAAATTGAGTACTCAATGGTGGGGATGGCCCATTCTAGAGTGCCAAACCGGTGCAGAGACTTTTGTTAAGAATGCTTTAGGACTCGGAGGTGGGATATGAAGCGTGAAGGGAGTAGTGATTGGTATCACTCCCGCTCGAAAGAAGTTTAGTCTTGTGTACACGGTCCTTAACACAAGATACGAAGGGGTGAAATTCTCAAAATAAGTCATTGTCTTTAGCAAGGCATTTCACGGATAATAAGGGTCGGGTTATTTATAGGATATGTAACACATCAAGCAATTTAAGAGATCTAGTAAAAGTTTTAATATGACTTGAACCAATGTGCAAAATAGGTAAAAACTCACCGTTTTTAACTTGGAGTTGATCCTTACCCATGTATGGTTCATATGTGCTTAAGCTAGTCAATTCGGGAGTCACATGATGTGAGGCACCAATATTTAGACACCATGTATGTGAGTGCGACTATGGAGTAGAGGAAACTGTGATATTTACGGTGGGATGTTATTGGCTAAAGTGGTGTTGTGGGCGGTGGACAACCGTGTGGCTCCGTGCATGACGGATCTTGCATTTGGTGCGACTCGTCTTGGTTATTCCGAGTAGCCATGGTTTTCATAGTGAAAATAGATGTTTCCATACCTATTGTTAGAGCGACCACGTCCCCTTCCTCTAGATTGTCTACCACGATTTCTATTGAAGTTTAAGTAACGGTTTCCTTGGGACCGATAACTCGAGCCCCTAGCCGCCATGTGAGCTACGGGAGGTGTGGGTAATAGAGGAGCGATAGGTGTGGGCGGTAGGCCATGCCGTGGTGGTGACACTAAATCTGAATCAAGGTGGAGAAATTCATGGCTAACCAAGAAGCTATGGAGGTTAGTGAATGTTATCGATTCGGGACGTGTGGAGAGAGTAGTGATAATGTCCTTGAAGTCACTAGAGAGGCCCTTAAAGATGTAGAGATTGAAGTCAATCAAGGGGAGAGGACGGCCAGCTCATCGTTAATTCATCATTAATTGATTTAGCACAATGGAGGAAGGTAGAAAATGATTCATTGTGGTCCTATTTGAGTCATTGTAAGGCTAGGTCCAAGCTCATTATCCGAGTGCTAAATGGGGAAGCAAGACCTCTTTCAAGTGTGAGCCAAACCTCACTAGATATGGTGCAATCAATTACCATAGGAAGCACTTCTATTGAGATGGAGGAGATGAGAGTGCTCATTAAAAGTTGGTCCTGCTGAATCCATGCTTTGTAGGCGGGGTTTTGTTGTGGAAGGCCACCATTGGAGGCTTCAATATGGCTTGTGGCTTGGAGGGCAAGGAAAAGTTCCATCAACAAATCGAAATAAGTCTTGGCCAAAGAGAAAGGGTTTGAGTTGAATACGCCATAGTAGGTAGTTTGTTTGAGTTAGTTTTAAGGAGATGAAGCGGTGGGAGTTTGTTAGGTGACTTATTGGATTAGTGGGTGGAGTGATGGTTGGAATGGTTTCGACAGGTGGTGGTGGGAGAGGTGTTGTTGCTAGAGGAGGTCATGTTGTGGGGTTGGGAGGTGTCAGAAGCGGTAGCATCTACGGGTTAGTAGCTACTCGGAAAGAGACGATAGCGTGTGGAATGCGAGTGGCGTATGAAGGAGGCGGTAGGCTAGGGACGTGTGGGATTATTTTTGGGAGGGAGAAGACATTGGCTAGGCTAGTATTTTTGGGTGGGATGAGCAGCAGTCGGCGCCGACGGGAAGGAGAGAAGAAAGACAGGTTAGCTAAGAGGCTCGATAACAAATTAAATCTTATGCTACTATTTGAAGAGTAATATTTTCAGCCTTGTATTATTAGGACTTTAGCATGTCCTTTATATACATGTACAAGTATAGTTTAACTAGAATTATAGACAATACAATGGATAAAAATTAGAGAGTACAAGTAATTAACAAACTCGCAAGTAGAGTTTTTGTAAGTAACAAACTCTAACGCTACAACGAGTTTATCTCCGAAGTGAAGCGAGCTTGTTGTCATCGGCTCTTGTCTCAACAAGGCTTAATGATCTTTATATCTTTTAAAAAAATTTTGAAACTCAAATTTGGCATTGAAGTGTATTTTCAAAAAGTATAGATAAAAAAAATAATAATAATGTATCATAACGAGTTAATGTCTTTTTTAAAACTGAATGAAAAGTTAAAAATAAAAAAGAACATTTTGGAACATAAAGAGTATTATGCATGTATTTTCCTTTAATACCTTTCATTTAAGTCTATCTTGTAAAAGATTAATGGCTAAAAAATAGGGTATTTTGAAAAATTATGAATAAAACGAAATGATATAACATAACAATTAATGATTTTTTTTTAATGTGTAAAAAATCAAACATGACAATATGTTTATGACAAAGGAAATATTATCTCTTTGATTTGTATATAAGGGAATGAAATCATAACCAATCCAAAATATTAAAATTGTGATTATTTTCTATTTTTAACCTTCGAGCTATTATATATAAAGATTGACTCTTAATAGAGGAATTATATTTCAAAGGAATAATAACAATATTATTGTAGTGAGAACTTAAAAAATGGAGGCAAAAGGCGTTAGGTGGTTAGCATTTTGATGTTGGTGGTAGTAATGTTGATAGCCACATCGAGTCAAGTCCAGGCAAATTTCAAAAATTGCTAACTAGAATATGAAAATTATCATAAAAAAACTCATGGGTTTGCTTGTTTTTTGCCCCTACACCATACTTTACACCATTTTCATATAAAAATAGTCTAAAAGCTTGTAGAAATTAAACCTCAAAACACATACTAATCTACCCTAAAAATCCAGAATATTGGATCCCTCCTCTTTCTTGTCTCTACTTTTAGGGACTAAGTTGTAATACAAATGAAATTAAGAAATTATTTTGTATAAACTCAAAATTCTAAGGATTAAAATGCAAATAATTTCTAAAAACTATACATATTTTTTTTTGGAAAAGTGTCATTTAATTTAAAAAATTGACACCAATTAAAGGCACAAAAGACCATAATAGGAGCTTAGTGACAAGATACTCTTATATTGCTTTAGTTTCTTTACTAGTCAATTTCTCGCATTACATAGTGGACCGAATTAAATATACTTATTTTAATTTAATAGCCCGCATTATATTTTTGATCTACTAAAATATATTAATTAAAAACAAATGATAAAATTTCATATAATTTCAAAATCTTAATCAAATTTTGTATTTCATTTATTTTTCTTTATGTTTTTTTTTCATAAATTTTATTATTAAAAAAATTCATTTTTCATTATGCATTCATTCTTAAATAAAAACCTATAATAATGTAAATAAAAAATTTAATAGAAAATTATAAAAAAACATCTTAATATTTTGAAAATATATTATGAATATATTAGTAGTTATTAGTAAATTTATTTTTAAAAAAAATTAAAAAAATATGAATTTTTTTAACAATAATATAACAATCGTTATTTGAATTGTTATTCAATCAAATGGTTTGCTTCTTGGTGGAATTCTCCCGAGACCACAACTCGTTAATAGATTCAACTACGTACAATTGAAGTACAATTGAAGTCCAAACATCGAGAAAAGTCTTTTCGGGATCTAATACAAAGATCTAATTGTATTTTAAATTAAGTGAGAAAATAAAATATTCTCTTGATACCTATAGAGTTAGATAGTTAAAATCAAGTTTTATCCAAAAGTCTTAAGCCTTATGGAGGATAGCACATTTTAAACTCTATATATTAATTATTTTTAATTTAACTATTCAATGTGGAATACGTGTTTTAACACTCCCTCATTTGGAGTCCATCTTTTAAGATCTATTAAGTGGCAACTTTATATATTAATTATTTTTTATTTAATTATTCAATGTGGGATACGTCTATCTTTTGGGACCTATCAAGTGGCTTGGGCTTCGGGATCCTTACTTGACTATTAAGTTTTCTTGAGACTCGATACCATATAGAGTTACATAGTTGAAATTAGGTTTTATCCAAAAAACTTAAACCTTATGGTGGATGATTTATTCTCAACATTATTTATTAATCATCTTTGATTTAACTATTAAATATGGGATATGTGCTTTAACGAGTGCCAAAAAGATTGTCTTGCTTTCTAGTTTTGGTTGTCCTAAAATGAGAAATTTTAAAATAATAAGAGGTAACAAACAATAATTACTCTATGTATCCACTTTGAGGAGAGATAGACATTAAAAAAAAAAAAAAAGAGAGAGAGACAGAAAAAAAAATCACATCCGAACTTATAAAAAAAATGATAAAAATATTTAAACATAGGTTCAATTTTTATTTTAATTCTCTCTCTTCTATTTTCATCTCCTCTTTTTGTTTATCCCTCTCTTATAGAGTAAGTATTATTAATTACTCTTAGAGTAAGATAAATTTCTCGTTCCAAAATGATGTCTTTGTCAAAATATTAAGTATGCATTTTTATTTAATATCCCTATCTTAAGTTCATATCTTATAAAAGACTTACAACTAAAGTAAAAAATATTTTAAAAAACTATATATATATTAAAAAAACTATTGACATTCTGAATAAGTGTGAAAAGTTAAATATGACAATTTTTTATAATAAAAGAAGTAATAACTTTTGGATTTTAATAGATTTTATGAATCTATGAACCATCATATATACAAGGAAAGGAAATAATAACCAATCCAAAATTTTAAAATCATGACATTATTTATAATTTTTAACCCTTGAGAGCTATTATATAAAGGCTGACCACCTCTGATTAGAGGAAGTATACTTCAAAATATTAACTATAATTGCAAGTGAGAATTTCAATAATGGAGGCAAAAGGTGTTACGTCGATGGTTAGCATTCTGATTCTGGTGGTAGTGATACTAATGGTTAGATCAGGTCAAGTCGAGGCAGAAGATCACAAGACATGCTTACAAAATTGCCTGAAAACATGCCACTCTAGCACAGAAGGATGCTTCGCCTTTTGCGGGCTGATTTGCAGTAGGATCCCCCGGGTCCTGCGAATAAGTGGTCAGGAAAGGAGAATTAAGTAATGCTTTCAAAATCCATGGATGTTGAATATGGTAATTAAATAAAACGGGTTCCTTTCTCCCAACCAAAAACTTAATTTTCAATAATAATAAAGTTGCTGATAATAATTATGGATCGTAGTAAAATAATGATTACGATGAATGTATTATCACATGTTAATAAAATTATTTTAAAATGAATTAAAAAATATAGTTTTTAATAATAGTATAATGGTCACCGTATTCACCAGATAACAGCCCAGCCCACTTGTTAAAATAACTACGTAAAGCCATGGATGTTGGCCACGGAAATAAAATATAACAAGCTCCTTCCTCTTCGTTGTTGCACCAGGATCGTAAGTTTAAATCGCATATATAGTTGTAAAAATAGTCACAATTGATATTACGAGTTACGAGTCATCGTAATAATAAAATAATAATTAAGTATAAATTTATTAATAATTATTAATATATTTATTTAAAAAATATATATAACGATCGTTATTTGAATTTTATTTGACCAAATGGTTTTTTTTTCTTGGTGGAATTCTCTTGAGACCACAACTGTTAATAGATTCAACTGCGTACAATTGAACTCTAAGCATCAAGAAAGCTCTTCATAGAATCTATCGGTATTTTAAATTAAGTGAGAAAATAAAATATTCTCTTGATACCTTTATAGTTAGATAGCTAAAATTAGATTCCATCAAAAAAATTTAAATCATATAATGGATGGCTCATTCTCAACTTTATCTATTAATTATTTTTTATTTAACTATTTAATATGAGATATGTGCTCTAACACTTTTAATTTATCATTTATTTTTTGAAATCTATCAAATAATTTAGACTTTAAGATTTTTATTGATCTGTTAGCCTTCTTTGAAACTACGATACCATTTTTGCTGACCTCTTATTAGAGGAAATATATTTCAAGGAATAATAACAATATTATTGTAGTGAGAATTTCAAGAATGGAGGCAAAAGGAATTAGGTCGAAGGTTAGCATTTTGATGCTGGTGGTAGTAATGTTGATAGCCACATCAGGTGAAGTCAAGGCAGATTTCAAGTCATGCAATGACAGATGTCTGGACAGATGCACGTACCCTAAGAAGGAAGAGTGCTTCGCCCACTGCAGGGTGATTTGCTGTATCATCCCCCCTGGTCCTCCCAATAAGTGCCTAGGAAAGGAGAATTGAGTCATGCACTTGTTGTTTATCATTTGCTCTTCATAGTAAAATAGCACTAAAAGCCATCATGTTGTGGTTAGTGTTCAATAAAAAGTTCCATAGCCCCATGATGTTTTTTTCTTTCAAAAAACGTGGATGTTGATTATGGAAATAAAATAAAACGAATTTTTTTTTGGTTGTTGTACCAGAATCATAATTAAATTGCAGAAACATGTATAAAAAAATTGTGATTTCGTCACGAATCACAACTTATTTCAATAGTAAAATAATGATTACAGAAATAAATATCGTAAATATATTAAAAATTATTAATAATTTTTTTTTAAATGTGGAATCAAAAGTATTTTTTAAAAAATAACATAACACTCATTGTTTGGATTATATTTGTCCTATAACTGCAATAACGATCATTACCATTATATAATACCAAAAATGACTCGAAAATTCATCTCTAAGAACTTTAATTGAATAATAGTTTCTCTCATTTACATAATATGCTTGCGTATATTCTTAGAATAGTCAAATGACTTATCCAAAGGTCTCATCATTAAGGTATTGATTAATGTTTTATTAAAATAAACAAATTGTTTTTGTATTATTTTCAAAAAATATTTTGCTTTATATCATTAAGGAATAAAACTTCTAATACTCTTATATATGCAAAACTTTATGATCATTAAATTTAAACAATTAGATTGCTCCCTTCGGCTCATAATCGGTCTTCTTCTAAGCAATACATGGCAAATTAAATATTTTTTACAAAAACTGCAACTTAAATACCAATAGTTAGCGAACAAAAAATGCATAGTTAAAGTAGCAATAAAATCCGCTGCTCTAACCTATGATCATTTATCCTGTGAATAAATGCATCCATATGTCTCAAGGTATCTACTTTTTGTTTACCCTCCCTGTTTGTCATAAATGATGCAGGTCGTTTTTTTTTTTTTTAATTCTTTCTTTTCTTTTCTTTTTTTCTTCTTTTTGTGTAATTCTTTCTTTTCTATTTTCTTTTCTTCTTTTTGTTTGTATCTCTTTATTATAAATAGAATATTGTTAATGACACCTGAAATAAAATAAAAATTCTGATTTCAAAATGATTAAGTATGCATTTCCATTTAATATCCTTATAGTAAATCTATTTTGTAAGAAACGTACAACTAAAAAAGAGAGCACTTTAAAACACAGTTAATAATAAAAATTGATATAACACAGCAATTAATAACTTTTTTAATATGTATAAAAAATCAAATATGACAAATTGTTTTGAACAAATGATGTTGGTGGTATTGATGTTGATAGTCACAAAAAAGAGAGCACTTTAAAACACAGTTAATAATAAAAATTGATATAACACAACTTAATATGTATCTTTTGGATTTTTGTAAAATTTCATATGAATCTTTTACCATTATACATGTAAGGAAATGAAATAATAACCTATCCAAAATATTAAAATTATGATTATTTTCTGTTTTTAACCTTTGAGCTATTATGTATAAAGGCTGACCTCTGAGTAGAGGAAGTATATTTCACGGAAATAATAAAAATATTATTGTAGGGAGAATTTCAAGAATGGAGGCAAAAGGTGTTAGGTCGAAGGTTAGCATTTTGATGTTGGTGGTATTGATGTTGATAGTCACATCAGATCAAGTCGAGGCAGATCACCAGACATGCTTTCAAAATTGCCTGGACACATGCAAATACTCTAAGAAGGAAGAATGCTTCGACTTCTGCAGGCTGATTTGCAATAGGATCCCCCAGGTCCTCCCAAAAAGTGGTCAGGAAAGGAGGACTGAGTAATAAACTTCTTGTTATCATTTGCTCTTTGGAATAAAATCGTATTCTTTTGGATTAAATTAGAAATTAGTCTTTCTTGTCTCGAGTACGTAACGAATTAATTAATTCTTTTTGTTTTAAAAACCAATTATTTTGTTTTTATAGTTTAAATTTTTTTCAATTTATTTTATTTTTTGTTTTCTAAAATAGAAAAAAATAAGTAAAAAAACGTGAAAAGATTTATGAAAAAAGATGAGATTTTTTTAATTAAGTAATATTCAATTAAATATGACATGGTTGGTCAAAAAATTAAATAATTAATTTTTGAAACAAAAGAATTAATTAATTTGTTTCCAAAAAAATAGATGAATTGATTTATAATTTACTCAATCCTATCCTTTTGCGCAAAAAAACCATCAGGTTGTTGTTAGTTTTCCATAAAAAGTTTGACAGGCCAATGATATTTTTTCTTTCAAAACCCAAGGATGTTGACTATGAAAAAAAATTAAATGAACTCTTGGTTGTGGTACTAGGATCATAGTTTTACACCGTAGATGTGGTTGTGAAAGCAATTGCATATTATGATAACAAAATAACAGCCACGGTCGTTGATGTATTAATAATTATTAATAAATTTATTTTGAAGTAACAAATCAAAAGTATTTTTTTTTAACCCAAGTGATTTTTAATAGGCTAATTAAATATAAAATATCTTGAACTATTGATCAACATGAGAAAAGTTCATAACTTTTTTTTCCTCTGATTTGGATTCCCAACATTTTATTTGGTCTGTATTTTTTTTTTTTTTTATTATCATCATCATCATCTTGGCGCATCTGAAACTATATTAAAAGAAAGTGAGCTATGTAGAATCATAGAACAACGACACACTCTTGTGTTTAAGGCTTCTAAGATATGTATCGTTGTTTTAATAGTTTTATGTATTTCTCATGTCGTCTGAAATCAATCAAAGTGATAGAAAAACTTAAAAGAATTAGGCAAGTGGAGCTTCAGAACGGATGCATTTGTTCTTGCTCCTGGGCCAATTTTGTTTTAGTAGGGAAATGAAAGGATCGCATGTTCTTATTCTTTCAAAGACCCCATGCCATTTTAGAATTAATCTTTTTAAGGGAATTCCTGCCTAATCAATACAAGTCTCTTTTGATCATCTATATGTATTCGTGTTGCTTTTAACGGCTAGAGAGATGAGCTTAGTCTTGGAAGGTATAAAACTTGGCCATAAAACAGCAGGAAAAGATTTATGCAGATGGCCTTTTTCCGTCCAAATTGAGAATATATTTAATAGAAATTTTTTTTAAAAAAAATCTTATATTTTGAAAATATATTATGAATATATTAGCATTTGTTAGTAAATTTATTTTAAAAAATTAAAAAAAATATATTTTTTAGCAATAATATAATGATCGTTATTCCATCGAATGGTTTGCTTTTTGGTGGAATTCTCTTGAGACCGCAACTGTTAATATATTCAACTACCTATTTACAATTGAACTCCAAACATTGAGAAAAGTCTTTGTAGGATCTAATTCTATTTTAAATTAAGTGAGAAAATAAAATATTCTCTTTGTGCTTATAGAGTCGGATAGTTAAAATTATATTTCATCCAAAAGTCTGAAGTCTCGTCATGGGTGACCCATTCTCAACTTTATATATTAGTTATCTTTACTTTAATTATTCAGTATGGGATATATGCTCTAACACTCTCCCTCACTTGTAGTCCATCTTTTAAAATTTATCAAGTAATAACTTTATATATTAATTATCTTTGATTTAACTATTCAATATGAGATGCATGCTCTAACACCCTCCTCACTTGGAGTCCATCTTTTGAAATCTATTAAATGGTTTAGGCTCTATAATCTTTGTCGAGCGATTAGGTTTTTGTAAAACTCTCATACCATATTGAGTTAGATAGTTAAAATTGGAGTCTATCCAAAAAAACTTAAGCCTTCCGGTTGGTGATCTATTCTCAACTTTATACATTAATCATTTTTTGTTCAAATATTCAATGTGAGATATGTGTTTTACTAGTGCCAAAAAGATTGTCTTTCTTTCTAGTTTTGGTTGTTCTAAAATGAGAAATTTTAAAATAATAAGGATTAACTAACATTAATTACTCTATGGATTCACTTTGAGGAGAGAAATGCATAAAAAAGAGAGAGAAAATCACATCCGAACTCTAAAAAAATGATAAAAATATATCCAAGTAGGTTCAATTTTTATTTTAATTTTCTCTCTTCTATTTACATCTCTTCTTTCTGTTTATCCCTTTCTTATAGAGTAAGTTTTATTAGTTACTCTTAGAGTAAGATAAATTTCACGTTTCAAAATGATGTTTTAGTCTTAGTCAAAATATTAAGCATGCATTTTTATTTAATATCCCTATCATAAGTTCGTATCTTATAAGAGCCATACAACTAAAACAAAAATTTTTTTTTTTTGTAAAAACTATAAACAAAAAAAGATGATATAGATTAATAACTAATGACTTTCTTGATAAGTGTGAAAAGTTAAATATGAAATTTTTTTAAAAAATTAGGATTTCTTAATGATCTTTAAATATTTTTAAAAATTTTCCAACTTAAATTTTGAAGGGACAAAATATTAATTTAGCGTCTTGATTTTAAAAGGGCTTAATGATCTTTATATCTTTTTAAAAAAATTTGAAACTCAAATTTGGCATTGAAGTGTATTTTGAAAAAGTATAGATAAAAAAAAAAAAAAAAACTAATGTATCATAACGAGTTAATTTCTTTTTTAAAACTCGGATGAAAAGTAAAAAATAAAAAATAAAAAAGAACATTTTGGAACATAGAGAGTATTATATATGTATTTTCCTTTAATACCTTTCATTTAAGTTTATCTTGTAACATATCTATGGCTGAAAAAAGGGTATTTTGAAAAATTATGAATAAAAAGAAATGATATAATATAACAATTAATGATTTTTTTAATGTGTAAAAAATCAAACATGACAATATGTTTACAACAAAGGAAATATTATCTCTTGGATTTGTATATAAGGGAATGAAGTCATAACGAATCCAAAATATTGAAATTGTGATTATTTTCTATTTTTAACATTCGAGCTATTATATATAAAGACTGACTCTTATTAGAGGAATTATATTTCAAAGGAATAATAACAATATTATTGTAGTGAGAATTTCAACAATGGAGGCAAAAGGTGTTTGGTCGAAGGTTAGCATTTTGATGTTGATGGTAGTAATGTTGCTAGCCACATCGAGTCAAGTCCAAGCAAATTTCAAGACATGCAATGACAAATGTCTAGACGGATGCACATACCCTAAGAAGGAAGAATGCTTCGCCCACTTGCGGGGTGATTTGCGGTATGATCCCCCGAGTCCTTCCAATAAGTGGTTAGGAAAGGAGAATTGAGTCATGCACTTGTGGTTTATCATTTGCTTTTTAGAATAAAATAGGATCTTATTTATGCACTAAAAGCCATCATGTTGTGGTTAGTGTTCAATAAAAAGTTCCTTAGGCCAATGATAATTTTTCTTTACGAAATCAAACATGGATGTTGACTATACAAATTAAATAAAAAGAGTTCCTTTCATTTCGTTGTTGTACCCGAATCATAGTTTTAAATCACATATCTAGTTGTAAAAACAATGGCGGTTACAATCACAAGTCGCGACTATCGTAGTACTAAAATAACGATTACAACAATCGATATCATAAATATATTAAAAGTTGTTAATAAATTTATTTTATAACAAGGAACCAAAAGTACTTTTTTAAAACAATAATATAACCATCGTTATTCGTCCAACAACTATAATAACAATTATTACCATTATATAATGTCAAAAATAACTTGAAAATTCATCTTTAAGAACTTTAATTGAGTGATAGTGTCTCCGATCATTTACATAATATGCTCTCACATATTCTTAGAATAATTAAATGACTTATCTAAAAGTCTTTTCATTAAAGTATTGTCTAATGTCTTATTAAAATGGACAAATTGTTTTTTCATGGTATTCGGAAATCTTTTGTCTTAGACCATTCAAGAATAAAACTTCTAATACTCATATTTATGCAAAACTTTATGACCATTAAATTTAAGCCATTAGATTGCTCCCTTCATTCATAATCAGTCTTCTTCCGAGCATTACATGAAATATCACATTAAGAATTATATTTTACAAAAAGCTGCAACTTAAATACCAATAGCAAGCAAAAATGTACGGTTAAAGTAGCTATAAAATCCGTTGCTCAAACCTATGATCATTTATCTTGTGAATATATGCATCCATGTGTCTCAAGGTATCTACTTTTTGTTTACCCTCCTTGTTTGTCATAAATGATGCAAGTCGTTTTTTTTTTAATTCTTTATTTTCTATTATTTTCTTCTTTTTGTGTAATTCTTTCTTTTCTATTTTTTCTTCTTTCTTCTTCTTTTTGTGTCTATCTATTTATTATAAATTAAATATAGTTAATTACATCGAAAATAAAATAACTTTTTGATTTCAAAATGATTAAGTATGTATTTCTATTTAATATCCTTATTGTAAATCTAAGATAGTTATCAATCGTGGCAAAAGCTATTTAAGGAAGAGAAATTGACGGAAGAGGAGGATCACAATCAACATATAAGACTTTTTCAACATAAACTTATCCAAGTTTTCTATTTTACCTCAAACCAATTAACTTTTATATTCCTGCAAGTAGTTTGATAATCTTTAATGCTTTCAATCCTATTTTCGGTAGATAACATTAATTGCTTTTAGTAGTTTTGCTATTGTAAGATAAATGGTATTGATCCATCCCCGATTGTGGTCAAATAGTTTGAAGTATCTCGATGACAAATGATGTAAGTGTCATATCTTTCAATTTATGATATTTGTACTTTTCTAGTGAGTTTTATCTCTTTCGATTGAAGAAATTCTCTCTATCTCTCAAGTATTATTTCTTTTGATTAGTAATATTTCTTTTATTTCATCTTTTTCTTTAAATTAAGTACCCATAGAAAGCCCTAGTAGCTTATTAGGCGAAATCGAACCCTATATTATTTCATCATGAAGTTCTCAATCACAAATTGGAGTGTCGACTTACTCGTTTCGAGACCAAATTTGACGAGCATCAACAAATGCGTTACTTGAAATAACAAACAATGTGTTGTTCAACCCACCTTTTTTTTTTTTTATCAAGATCTGAAAATTGCTAACTAGAATATGAAAATTATCATAAAAAACTCATAGGTCTGCTTGTTTTTGCCCCTACACCATACTTTACACCATTTTCATCTAAAAATAGTCTAAAAGCTTGTAGAAATCAAACCTCAAAACACCCTCTAATCTACCCCAAAAATGCAGAATATTAAATCCCTCCTCTCTCTTGTCTTTACTTTTAGGTGTTGTTTGGTAATCGGGAATAGAGTGTTGGGAATGTGAATGAAAATTTTATTCCCACATTATAACTCGTTTGGTTAAAAGGAATGAAGTAGGAATGAGAATGAAAATTTACACACAACTTCATTCCTACATAAGACGTGGGAATAAAAACAAGGAATGTGAATGAATTTTTTTTTCAAAATAATAATATATTTTATTTATTTATTATCTATTAACTATCGTTACCACCATTACAACCACCACCACCACTACCACTATCATAACCACTACCACTATCATAACTACAATCACCACCACCACCACCACCATCACCTTTATTATTTTTACAACCATTATAGTTTAATAAAATTATTATTTTAATCATTATTTTTATTTGTATAAAAAATCAGATATTAAAAAATTTAAATTGAATTCCGATTCCTTATTAGTATTCCGAACACGAGTATTAGAATACAAATACCATTCGATTCCTTAATTTTCATTTCAATTCTTGTATTCCTATTCTCATCACTCTATTCCCGATTACCAAACAACACCTTAGGGATTTAGTTGTAATACAAATGAAATTAAGAGATTATTTTGTATAAACTTAGAATTCTAAAGATTAAAATGCAAATAATTTCTAAAAACTATTTTTTTTTTGTTGAAAAAGTGTCATTTAATTTAAAAAATTAACACCAATTAAAGGCACAAAAGACCATAATAGGAGCTTAGTTACAAGATACTCTTATGCTCGCTTTAGTTTTTTTACTAGTTGGTTTCTCGCATTACATAATGGACCGAATTAAATATATTTATTTTAATTTAATAGCACGTATTATATTCTTGATCTACTAAAATATATTAAATTAAAAAAGCTGATAAAATTTCATCTAATTTCAAAATCTTAATCAAATTTTGTATTTCATTTATTTTTCTTTATTTTTTTCATAAATTTTATTGTTAAAAAATTTATTTTTTGTTATGCATTCATTCTTAAATAAAAACATATAATAATATAAAAAAAAATTTAATAAAAAATTATAAAAAAAATCTTAATATTTTGAAAATATATTGTGAATATATTAGCAGTTATTAGTAAATTTATTTTTAAAAAATTTAAAAAATATGTATTTTTTAACAATAATATAACAATCGTTATTTGAATTGTTATTCAATCGAATAGTTTGCTTCTTGGTGGAATTCTCTTAAGACCACAATTGTTAATAGATTCAACTATATACAATTAAAGTCCAAACATCGGGAAAAGTCTTTGTAGGATCTAATACAAATATCTTATTGTATTTTAAATTAAGTGAGAAAATAAAATATTCTCTTGACGCCTATAGAGTTTGATAGTTGAAATCAAGTTTCATCCAAAATCTTTAAGTCTTATGGTGGATAGCTCATTCTCAACTCTATATATTAATTATCTTTAATTTAACTATTCAATGTGGAATACGTGTTATAACACTCTCTCTCTCACTTGGAGTCCATCTTTTGGGATTTGTCAAGTGGCAACTTTATATATTAATTATTTTTTATTTAATTATTTAATATGGGATACGTTCTCTAACATTCTCTCTCACTTGGAGTCCATCTTTTGGGACTTGTCAAATGGCTTGGGCTTCGGGATTTTTACTTGATTGTTAAATCTTTTTAAGGCTCGATACCATATAGAGTTACATAGTTAAAATTAGGTTCTATCTAAAAAACTTAAATCTTATGGTGGATGATTTATTCTCAACTTTATATATTAATCATATTTGATTTAACTATTAAATATGGGATATGTGCTCTAATAGTGCCAAAAAGATTACCTGTCTTTCTATTTTTGGTTATTCTAAAATGAGAAATTTTAAAATAATACAGAGTAACTAACAATAATTACTCTATAGATCTACTTTGAGGAGAGATAGACATACAAAGAGAGAGAGAGAGAGAGAGAGAGAGAGAGAGAGAGAGAGAGAGAAAATCACATCTTGTTATAAAAGAAATAGAAATAATAGGAGAATTGAAAATAAAATTGATGAAGAAACGATTTCACTATAAAAAGAATATAAGAGATAAGAACTCTAAACAATTCTCACAATCTTTACTAAACAATTGTACACTAACTAATGAATAATCAAGCCTATTTATAAGTTTCAAATTTGAGAAGAGAATTAGAAGGAACTATGAATAATCAATTGCATCACTCTTTCAATTTCTCATATTGAAGATGAATTGAATCATATTAAAAATCATGAGTAGTGGGGATATGAAAAATAGATGAACATGATGATAGACATTCATTATTTCATAACACTCCCCTTTGAATGTCCATTGTACAAGGAACATGCCTTGTTAAAACTTTACTAGGAAAAAACCTAGTGAAAAAAAATCATAATAAAGGAAAAAGAGTACAATATTCATTGTAGACATTAATCTCAATGTTAGCCTCCCCCTGTTGAAAACATCATTGATCTCTATGAAAATGTATTTCAATTTTATGGATCATCTTCTCAAAAGTTGAGGTAGGTAATGTTTTAGTGAATAAATCTGTTGGATTGTCACTTTGATGTGTTCTTCCTTCAATGGAATTATACAAGCGACATTATCCTCATATGATATTGTTGAAACTTCTTTTGCTGATAGATAAACCGCATGTCTCTTGGATATGATAGATCGTTAATCTTAGCCAAACACATTTTCGACTTGCCTCGTGAATTGATATTTCCGCATGATTTAAAGATGTGACGGCTATAGTTTGCTTCATAGAACATCAAGATATAGTTGTATTTCCATATGTAAATATATAACCGATTGTGATCGAGCTTTATGTGGATCGGATAAATAACTCGTATTTGCATAACTAATTAATCTTGTCTTTGATTTATTAGAGTAATATAAACCCAATCAATTATTCCTTGAAGATAACATAGTATATATTTAACTTTATATTCAATGTCTCTGCATTGAAACAAAACTATGACTTGCTAATAAATTTATAGAAAAGACTATATCA